GAGCATCATGATCGGCTTGTGGCTGGGGCACGCAGTTGGTGGGAAGGCTCAGATTGGGTTCTGTCTCATCACTGTGGTTTCCCAGATGCACCTGTGGCCGACGATCACAGAGAGCACGCTATCACTAGCTTTTGGTGTCACTTTTACTGGAATGACAATCCTTGGATTTTGACCACCCGTGGCAAGCCTCTGAGGAGCTCCCAATTCGCTCGCATACGTCCGTGCCGAATTCGTGATCTCTGTATTCGGCGCACAGGACCGCATCAATTTACATTTACCATTCCGTCTCTTGGTGACGGTGCCCAAAGCCATCTGCACCCTAAATTACGCCGGTGGACGTCTTTTATATTGCTCGCATCGCCAAACATTGCTATCGGGGCGGCACTGACAGAACCGACTCTGCTCTTGCGGCAGCCACCACCATTTCAACAACAGTATTAGTGGACTCGGGTTTCCGCCACGTCTATAGTCGGTACAGTGCCAGGCTCCACTTCGTCGCCGGCGCAGACCGTTCGTCTTTCGAAAGGGGTCGATGGTCTTCTATGGTTTTTGCACGGCGACCCGCCAGACTTATGCACCTCTACAGAGCGGGAGGCAGCTGACTGGCTTCACCGGCTCAAACGGGGACTCGTCTTTCTAGCCCATCCATAATTTATCGGCTGCCTTGGACCGTGCCGGATCGAGTACAAAATCATCGGGTGTCGTCATCGTTTTTACGCCAGGCTTTTCACTACCATAAACGTCAGCTTCGCCCGGAGCTGCAGCACTGGCTAAACCGCTTTGAACACCAGACTCGGTCGAAGCGGTGGCTTGCAGCGGTCGCGGATCAAAGCCCCGCTCAAATTTGGCGGCACGCGGACAGTCTTACGGAGTACCAAGTGTGGACGGCTTACCGGATCGCAACCAATCAGCTCAATTTATATCACGCCAGACGCCCTGATGATCCCAGTTGCGGAAAACTCGAGCACTGCAGGGGGCGCAAAGAGACTGTCACTCATCTATTTTGGGATTGTTCAACTGCGATGGCCTGCTGGAGCCTATTGCTCTGTCATTGGTCTGGTGAGGGGGTTCAAGAATCCGCTGTGTTGAGTCATTTTTCGGTATTTCGCCCATCGACGGGCGCCTCCGCTTCCACCGCGTTTGCTGCAGCTCCTAATGGATCGTTTTGGGGATGATCACACGGCAGCGGCAGACGAACACTGTCGGATCTGGTTTGTGTTATGCTCCTTGTGTCAGGTGCATCTTTGGGTGGAGCGCAACGCGGTAATCTTCCGAGGGAAGACAATTTCTCCGGCTCAAAGTGCCCTTGCATTCTGGCAAAGCGGTCTGCGGCAGTTGAAAGCAATTGCTATGCGAGAACATCGGTCCGCAGCTACAGCGGTCAGAGGGGCGCGTCTTTACGCCTGTCTGGACATTCTCAGCCAAGTTCCCACAAGTCGCCAGGCTTCTCTTACTATCAGCCACGATGAGCTAACCGTCCCGGCGTTCATATCCTGGTTCAGGACTTTTCAGACATCTTGCACATCTTAACTTGTAAATAGACGATCATGAAACTCCTCCATCGTGGAGGCGCTCGATCCCGTCACTGTGCGGATGTCACTCCATTGGAGCTGCGCTGCCGCACTTTCTTGGCCGCTGTTGTTGGAGGCTTGCATAGCGATCGCCCAGTCGCACTCGTGCTTGACTTCCGTCGCGCGCTGCATCGCCGCGGCCGCCTTTTACCTCGTCCACTTAGGTTGCCACTCCTCGCCCATGAACAGCTGCACGAGCCGCAACAGTGCCGGGTGGTCGTGAAATGAATGTCCTTGTTGCCGACGTCCGCTCGAGATCGTCGTTTGCAGTCGTAGCGCGATTCGACCGTGGTGCTGTACAATCGATCGTGGCGTCCGAGAAGACGCCATCTGAGCTGACCGTTAGGCGTCACGAGTAGAGCATCAACTCGCCTGCGCCGATAAGCCGCAGGTGTATCGTCGTGTGCAGACGGCGTAGGAGCTCGGGATAGTTGCACACCATCACCTTGCACGGACTCGACACCGCCCGTCGCACCGCCGGGGTGCTGGACCGCCGCAGTTCGAACTTTATTACGCCATTCCGTATCCACGTGCAGATGAGGATGTCGCGATGCGTGCCCCACTTGTCGCCACGTCGCAGCAGACTGATGTTCACAGGCGTCCCACTGATGTCGATCAGGGATGCCGCGTGTCGAGTCCCACGCGGTCGAGCCACTCGTGGCAGAACGGCCCACGCACGCGTCGTCTCCTCTCAACACCTGTGTGAGTGAGCGCATTGAATTACTTTCGACGTCGACGGGCATACTTTCGACGTCGACGGGCATACATCCGTCTCTCAGGTAGCAGCGTATTGATGCTGCCGGAGTAGCAACTCCAATGCCGACGAAGCAGCGACTCCGTTGCGGCTACATAGTCGGTATACATAGTCGGCATCCATAGATTCGATCGGAACGCTGTGCACTCCGCGCACCACTGCCTCCCCACTATGTCACATGTTGTCCGCGACCGTGAAGCTTCCCACAGGCGCGTCCCGCCGCGCCAAACTCAGGTACACCTCGACGCCTGATCGCTCTGCCAGTAGGAAGTCGCCCGCGATCTGCGCCGGACTGATCGCGCCGGCTGCCAACCTGCCATCTGCAGTGGCGGCTATCGCTAGCAATTCCATTGCGTACGGCACAGCGGGTTTCCCTTAGCACACGCGCAGACCCGCCTGCCCGTCGCATAATCATGCCCGGGTTAGCTCGTCTTCTGTCGAGCCCCAGACAAAACGTTTGACCAGCTTCTGCAGCGAAGACACGATCTCACGGGTCGGCCACAAGTGTCGTGCGTGGAAAGTGACATTGGGGATGCCTATCACTGCCTCCAGAGCAGCTCGGCTCCGGACCATGTTGGTCTTCCTTCGGGCCAGCGCTAGCTGGGAGTTCAGCGCGAAGAGACACGCGTCCCAGTTGTCCTTGACTGTACTCCGCTCTCAAAGTAGAACGCCTTGGTAACGGTACCGCTCGCCAGCTTGCAGCAGTCGAATGCCGTGCAGCAGATCCGGGTCGATGGCTACACCGTCACAAAGCGGCACAGCCACAGACTTCGCGGCATTAGTCATCAGCCCAGAAGCGACTCCAAATCGCGCCAGAGCCTGCATGACCTCGACCACGTCCTCTGGGGACCGGGCATAGACAGCCGTGTCGTCGACGTACCCGCAGACCTTAGTCACCATCACTGCCGACTTTTTAAAGGTCCGGAGATCCCGTCGAGTGCTCCCGAGCTGCTCATAGAGCGGCTCCGCTGCCAAGAGGAACAGCAAAGGTGCCAACAAGCATCCCGTTGTATGCCACACATGACGTCCAGCAACTTTGACACGTAGCTGTCACAATGGATCGGATCCTCGTGCAGGTTTGATGTGCTGCGATGATGCGCACGAAAGTGTCCGAAAAACCGATAAGTCGCAGCGCGGCGAGCATGAGGTCACACTACAGCGAGTCGTATGCCTTTAAGAAGTCCAGGAGAAGTACAAGCGCTCATTGTAGACCAGGGTCGTCCCTGGCACAGATCTTCGCGACAGCGAATATGTCAACTACCGTACCCATATTGCTGCGCGGTACGAAGCCTGCCTGCAACGGAATTATGAGCGTCGGCAGCATCGGCCGGAGACGTGACGGAAACACTCGCGTGTAGATCTTCTAATTCGAGTTCAGGGAAACATTGGGCGATAGTCAAGCGGGCGCGCCGCACTCTCCGACTTCTTGATGCGCGCTACCACCGCTACCACGAAGATTTTCGGCAAGACGTCGCCGAGTGCGCACACGTTGAGCAGACGCACCAGCAGAGGGACGAGAATGTCCTCGTTGTGGCAATACCAACTTTTGCCGAGCACGTCTGGGTGCCACGCCTTTCCCCGCTTGCACATCCTGGCAGACCTCAGCACCTCTGCCTCCGACACCTCGATCACAGCGCCGCCATGTTGGCGCCAGGCGCTCTCGGTAGGAGCGAGTTGAGGAAGTCAGTGACAGTAGCACGCACCGGCCAAACCGGCTGCATAACGGCTTGCCAGACTTCACGCGTGTACTCCGCGAGATCTCGCGGAGTCGTCGTCCTTGTCCCACCGCTCCCTGGAGGCTGTTCACCTTGTTGTCCACGCAAATCGACGAGACCCGCCGGTAGAAGAGCCGCTGCGACCGCGCCGGATGATGCACATATGATCTAAAGAGTGGTCACCGCTTTTTTTGCTGCCGGTCGCCTTTGTCCTTCCCTACTGTCATGCCGAGCTTCTTGCACAGAGCTAACTTTTGGTCCTCCGCATCGGTTCAATGCGTAGGGGACCCTACAGGTTGTCGTTCAGGCGCTTGAGGAGCTGGTGGTAGTCGGTCGTTGTTTACGGTCGCGCGTCCAAGACCGCTACACGTACTTCTTCCGCAGCTCGCTATTCTCGGTGTCCCACCACCCCGCAGCAGCACGTGCTTTGGTCACCGCTGTGCCCGCGGCTGTGATGACTTCTTCAAGGTGCGTTATCGCACCTGCAAAGAAGACCCCGTCACTGCCTCGGACGTTTCTGCAGCGTTTGACGGCGGGTACACCATCCGCCTCGCCTTCACTTGCACCGAACGACCGGGTACCGCGACACGTGTCGCGACGCCGTTGTGGTCAAAAAAAGCCTTAGAATGGATGTGCCTACCTCTCGAACCCAGTCGCCGTGGTCGGACGAGGAGTACCACCTGTTCTGACGACAGCTCGCCGCTATTCCTCTTGGAAATTTGTAGAAGTACGTGTGGTGCTTTGCACGTCATTCGATTTCCGTGTCGTCGGCCTTGAGTTCGTCTTCCAACACGTCCCCTCAGAGCACCGCGTCGCAGCAGTCGACATAGCGCGAGATAGTCGAGCAAGTTCCACCGCGACTTTGACGACCGACCACTAGTCTCAGGGACCGAGCAGTTGAAGTCCTGCACAGGAACACATGGCCGCCAAAACTGGTCACCACTTCTTTCAGCAAACTGAACAGTGTCTCCCGCTCCGAGACTTGTACCGGCGCATACACGTTGATGATTGTGGCAAAGTCATTAATAAATTTGATGATATGGATCGGTGGCCATTTAATTGAGGCGCCACGTACTGGTGGAATATGGCACCAAGTGATCTGGCGATCCAATGAGAGACGGTAGGTGATCCCACGGAGATCGACGGACCGATCCAACGATCGACCGAAGGATGGACGTGGAACGGTCTGAGACGAGGCGCAGAAAGGAATGATTTCCTTGGAACAATCTAGGACGAGTCGCAGGCATAGATAATTTCCACAGTGCGATCTGGGATGAGGGACTAGATTGAACCAGGCGACCGATCTGAACTGAGAAAGGTACGTCTGAGACCAGCGATGCGACGTGACTCTGTGACAAAAGTTGTAGCATTTAGGTGATCGAAGATACACATCACCGATCTCCAATGTGAGTACTAATTTCAATTAAATATAGCCCGATCTGGAAGTGTGGATGTTCGCGGAGGTCCGTGGGATCGTTGTGAGAACTGTGGATGGTCCCATTGTGCGGATAAACCCTTGCGGATGTTATCGGACCATGCACAATGAACGGAAAAACATATAGGTCCGGATCGCACTGTGTAGATCCTCAACGATCTCGAATTGGGCATCAGATCGTCCATGTTCCCTGCTGATTATGGATATATCGATGGCGGAGCTATTTTGTTGTGATATACATGCTTGTTGAAGGTCCATGAGTGATGTCATAAAAGTTCAGACCGAAAGAGCTAGTGGAAGCCGTTTGAATTGACGTCTCAGAGTGGATTTAGACACATTCCGCATTTTGGATACTATTTTGGACTTTTCGGTACCAGAATTGGGTATTTTTACCGCATTTAAAATTTGGTCCTTTTTTGTTTCTATGTACGATATCGGGAGTATTGGCGCTATCTTTGGAGCACAGGTCACGAAATTTTGACACGTGTTTAAGGGGGCGGTCAAGTTTGAAGGTGATATCGACTTGGAGAATGACCCACAGTTTGGATTAGGTTTAAATATAGATTGGCTATTAATTTGGTTGGATAATAAAACAGTTACCGTTTTTACATACAAAGCACGTCTCAGACTTCTCTTCCAGGCAGGATATTTGGCCTTCCGTCGATCAAGAGACGTCGCCGCCCCGTGTTTCGTGTACTCAGCTTAGATTGTTTGGCCAAGGTGGGGTTAAGGTAACTCAACTCAACTCAAACTGCTAGGGTAGCAGCAAACAACGGTAAAGGAAAAGGATTTTGGTTAAAAGATCGCGAGGCGGGTCAAGTGGTCAGGAGATCTGGAAAAGGTGTTCAAGACAAGACCGAGCAAGACCGAAGCGATCTACAGGGCAGATCGGCACGTTTCATTTTGGCGAAAGAAGCAACCGATCCGCCCACATTGCGCACCTCCGGCAAAGTCGGCCGATCCCAACGCAAGATCGACGCAAGACTATCATTGCCTGAGTGAGGATTTCCGCACAGCAAAGTCCCTGACCCCGAGGTTAACCGAGATCGGTGTGATTCAAGATCGATATCGCGACGTTTCCAAATAGAGATCGCCGCGACTAAAGATCAAGATCGCAGAACCCCGTTCGTGGTGTGAAGCTTTCCGCACCGGAAGCGAACTCTCAACCCCAACCTCTCAGCGAGATCGACATCTCCCAAGGCCGTTACGAAGGGCTCAAGCCAGCGTAACAGACGGGTACACAAGTTGAGCACAAGGCTATACAACAAGGCACGGATCGGAGTACCCCATCCGTTATTCGGCCCGTCTGGGCAAGTGGAAGATCGACCCTCACTCAAGCGATTTTGCGAGATCGACTTCACCACAGTATACTCGACGGCGTCGATCATCTCCGTCACCACGATTCAATGCGATTTCCAGTCCGCCTTTAAAAATGCGCGTAGTGCTGTGACCCGACTATACGGGCGCAAGAAGATGTCGACGTCGCCGGTTCGTCCTTCGCTCGGGCTTCAGAGCTATAACTTCTTCTCACCATTGGCCACGAAGCCTCTCGACCGTAGATGACGCACTACATTTCCGGCTGTTGCACTCGCAGTTACCCGCGTCTCTTGCAGGCAGGTGATGTCCAGAAGGACATCTAGTGCCGATGATGAAAGTGCTTGAAATAGCGGCTCTGTCATTACTGTTTTTTCTTCCTGCCCATGACGTTCTGAGTCAGAAGCCTACACTTCACGTCATGTGCCGACCCGCGACTGCCTCTTGTACGCCTTTCTCAAACGAGCTGTGAATGCGTTTGTCATGTCGTCGGGAATATCTTGGTAACGACGTGCGGCGTTGTCGCGCCCGACTCGCAGATGCCAAGTGTTCGACCAGCGCTTTAATCAGGACCATAGAGTCATCAACACTCCTAATCTCGTCGTCGTCGTCGTCGTCTTAGACCCGAGAGCACGTGTCGGGGATGACAAGACCATAGTCCAGCTGCTTCGGGAAGCGACGGGGGCAGAGCAGTATCAGCAGGTAGAGTACCGCGCTGAGCATATCGTCGAGGTCTGGCTTTGAGGTCCCGGTGAGCAGGTCGTTATCGAACTCCCCCACCTTGATCCACCACGCTGTCGCGTGCGTCGGGATTCAGTGTTTGCTGCCGATGGGGTAGAGATCAAACCTCCTTCGCCTGCTTCCTGCACAGCGCGCGCACCGGCCTGGCCAGGCTCCTATAAGTGGCGTGGTGCTCGATCTGCGCAGGTTGAGCGTCGCTATAAGTGTTCGACCAAAGTCGTCTACTCCGTCTTACTCCGCGTGTAGCTCGATGAGAGGGAACGGGATGGCGGTAAACACCCCCACCAGGCTTCTAAAGTGGTGCTATATGTAGCTCGAGAGTTTATCGACTCCAGTCGACCAAGCTGGAGACATCGACGTCTGACTCCGCCACTTGCGACCGCGATTACGTTCTCCGTCTTGCGGCGGTTGCGCTCGTTGGTATCGGCCTTCGTTAGCCGCGCGTGAGCAGACTTAATCTGCAGAAGCTTACTGACGTTCATCTCCGGACTGGCCGACTCTTAATGAGGTCGTACTGATCGTTGCTGGTTCCTAGCGCGGTTTTTGTGCCGGCGCGTCGCAGCAAGCGTAGCTGTGTGGTTGTCGACCCCCCGTCTAGCTGCCACTACTGCGTTCCATTTGTAGACTTCATCGCCTGACGGGATAATTTTTCGCGGGATGCTCGGCATTTGACTGGCTATTGGGACTACGTGGCC